TCCAACTCTTGGGCTACTCTTTTACCAACGAATAGTAGGATTGACCATCACATTAAAATGACCCCATGGCTGAAAGGGCTAGCATGTTTGGTGGGATGGGGATTTCAACCCACGACCCTCAGATTGCAAGTCGAGCACCCTTTTCACCTAGCCATGCCAGGCCCCTGCTGCATTCAAATGAAAACCATATATCTACAAATAGGTATTAAGTTCTATCTAAAACTGTTAATGATTAAAAAAATTCCCAGCTAAAAACAGAAGAAAAATAAGCAGTTTAATATAACGTTTCACATAGATGACTTTTTGTAGTTTAATGTTCTGTGATGGAAAAGAACGAATTTTAATGCATTTAAAACTTGTAAAAAAGCAAGAAAAAACCATTATTTTGTGATATTATACAGTTGTCAACAGTAAGTAAAACGATTGTGTTGTTCATACAGTTGTCAGTAGTAATTAAAACTTGTATTTCAACATCATGCAGTTGTCAACAGTAAGTAAAACATGTTCAACATTAAGTAAAACATGTTCAACATTAAGTAAAACCTCCATGTTTTAACACTATATACAGTTACTAACATTAAGTAACACCTCCATGTTTTGACACTATATACAGTTACCAACATTAAGTAAAACCTCCATGTTTTCACACTATATACAATTACCAACAGTAAGTAAAACCTCCATGTTTTCACACTATATACAGTTACCAACATTAAGTAACACCTCCATGTTTTGACACTATATACAGTTACCAACATTAAGTAAAACCTCCATGTTTTCACACTATATACAATTACCAACAGTAAGTAAAACCTCCATGTTTTTACACTATATACAGTTACCAACAGTAAGTAAAACCTCCATGTTTTAACACTATATACAGTTACCAACATTAAGTAAAACCTCCATGTTTTCACACTATATACAGTTACCAACATTAAGTAAAACCTCCATGTTTTCACACTATATACAGTTTACAATTTTACTTACTGTTGGTAACCTCCATGTTTTCACACTATATACAGTTTACAGTTACCAACATTATGTAAAATCTCCATATTTTGACATTATATACAGTTACCAACAGAAAGTAAAGTCTCCATGTTTTCACACTATATACAATTACCAACAGTAAGTAAAACCTCCATGTTTTCATACTATATACAGTTACCAACATTAAGTAAAACCTCCATGTTTTTAAACTATATACAGTTACCAACATTATGTAAAATCTCCATATTTTGACATTATATACAGTTACCAACAGTAAGTAAAGTCTCCATGTTTTCACACTATATACAGTTACCAACAGTAAGTAAATTCTCCATGTTTTCACACTATATACAGTTACCAACAGTAAATAAAGTCTCCACGTTTTGACACTATAAACAGCTACCAACAGTAAGTAAAGTTTCCATGTTTTCACACTATATACAGTTACCGACAGTAAGTAAAGTCTCCATGTTTTCACACTATATACCAAGTAAAACACCAAAACATAAATGTAAAGCCCAATCTATTATTCATTTTACCACTTGTCACTGAGTTATACTAGTTTAAAGAAAATCCATCCCTCATCAGTAACTCTCTACAAGGGCAAACTGAACAAACACGTCTAGTTTTCTTATAGTCGTGGAGTGTACATGTAACCTTTTGAGATATCTTTTACTTACACATTGATCTTATATTTATATAAGAATTTCAAGAATATGCAGTATTGATGTTACGGTGAATTAATCGGTCGACAAGCTGCTTAAAATTCTAAATAATAAATGTGAAGTCTAACGTATCATTTAGTTTACCACTTGTTATTGTGTTATACCAGTTTCAGAGAATTACACCCATCATCAGTAACCCTGGACAAGGGCAAATCAAAAGAAAAAACTAGGCTTCATATATTGATGGAGTGTATATGGTATATATATATATATATATATAGTTGTTTGAGTATTACCTTTACTCACACACACACAATGATCCTAAATGACAGATGAGGTTTCATATTTATTTTTTGTTTTATGTAGTTTGTTGATTGAATAATTCACGAATAAATTACAGTAAGTCCACTATTTACATTAGAGATGTGTTCCTAAAAAAATGATTTTAGGCTAAATGACGTAAATATAAATTTATTTTCCCATTGGAATAATGGTATAAATAGGGGATATGTTCTTGTGAGATTTTATTTGCCGATAATTTACAGAAACAACATTAAACAAGTACCCAAGCACATATTGTCCCATTAATAACTAAATAAATAAACTAAATATTGTACATAAAATGTATAAAGCTGATTGCTTTCCATGCCTTCTTCGCTGGTGTGCTGCCATGCCATTATAAAACATGCATGATGGGTTTGGAGATGTAATAAAATTAAATCGTCACAGTACCAAAGATGATGGGAAATTGGACTGACATTTGCTTGCATGATCCCGGGATGTGGAGGGGTACAACGAGGTGACGTGCTCTACCTCACCACGTGGCGCTAAGTAGAGAAGGCACGTTTTGAAATTTTCAAGATGAAGTTATAGCAAAAAATTATATATATTGAAACTTGTGCTGTAATATGTTGGCAACATTCTAGTGAAACAACGTAACTGGGAATGACATAAACTTCTGTAGTTAGTAGCATCAGTGCTGCATATTCATGAAATTTCTGTATAAATATAAGATCAATGTGCGAGTAAAAGACATCTCAAAACACCATACATGTAACATCTCCCATTGTCTCTATCAAGAAACTAGGGAGACTGATTTCCAAAAACACTATTTTTTACCTCGAGTATTTAATGATTTTTTTACAATAACATTAAAAACTTGTATAAATCTTACTGTTTTCATGAGGATTGATGAATGTTACAACTCCTAACCATTTTCATCCTGTTCATTTTGATTTTGTACCATCAACAGGATAACCCTGCAGTATTTGATTATATTTGATTAGGACAAGACATCTGACTGAGCATTTCATCCTGTAGACAAATATTCCTCCATGCTGTTAGATTGAAACTGACTGGTTTTAACCAGTAGTAAGATGTAGATTGCAAAACTATTTTAAAGTGTGTTTGTACAATGATCAGCAAATGTTTGTCCATTGTATTCCACACAGTTAACTTGATACATCACCAGAAGATAAAAATCAGCATGTACAACCCCATAATTAATTAAAAGTAATTTAATTCATATAACTGAAAGCTAACTAAAGCTAAAATAAATACAGGTCAATACACTTGTATTTATTCTGCTTTAAATTCTCTGACTCATCAAATATTTGTAAGCCAGTAAATATGCTGCTGGTCACAATGTTCCATACAAAATAGCTATTTGATAGCCACAAATGTTGTAATGTTACGACATAGATTCATTATAATACTGATGTTGAACATGCCAATAATATCCTAAAATAATTGGATCTTTTATTTTTATCAGGCAACATTACTTATTATATCATTCAGTAAAATGGCAGAGCATCACAATTTCAACACTTGACAACAAAAATGAGGGATACTTTGGTTTAGCAGAATTCATGTCATAATACAGGGTGACCCAAAAGTCATACACCATCATGATTATTCCAGGTCCTGTTCATACAGTTGTTGGAAATGTGCAATTATGATATCAGGCAGCAACGTTACAATAGAAGTACTTTCTTCTGCTGGCAAATTAAATAGTAAATGATAAACAGATGAGCAGTATATATATATTTAGTGTAGAATGTTAACAAATATATAATGTTCATAACACAACAGCAGCACCAACTGGATACATGTATAGAACACAAGTTTACTAAAATGTGAAAAAACATTTCTAATGCAAGAAACAGAATTTCTTCTGGTACATGGTGTGCACATGACGATTCCTATTAACAGCAGGGTTAATGAACACCTACATGTGTACAACAGCTGTTTCAATATGCTGGACCAAATGTTCTCTTCTCTAACATGAGTTCTGTAAGGTGTTCTAGTAGTATTTTAAACATAACTATTATGAAAAGTCTTTATGTTAGAATGACATAAATGCCACCTACATCTCAACTTATTGATTATCGGAGTTGCCTTTAACCCTTTCAAGATGGGTCAAGGGTGAAAGGCCATGTCATCTCGTTTGTTGACTTGCATTCAAAATTTTATTGAACTACTATTTCATGAATTTATGTCAATAAGTCAATAAATCTAATCAAACTGTAGATTATAATTCAAATGTTAGCACTATATAATACTCAATTTGTTAATTTAAAAGTAAATATTAAAAAACACAGATAAAAGTCGATTTTTGTGTGTCAT